TCCTACGCTTAGTGCTTCTGTCTTGCACATAGAGTGATCAGGGTAGAGTACACTGCGTGATAACTGACCACCAATGGGTTTTTAATATAGAATGCAACTGATGGACCATATGCAAGAATAGCTGCTTTTTTATGGTTTTGCTATAATGTTACAAGTTTACATCCTTTTATTTTAGTTGCAAATACTGCAAAACTAAAGGGAACAACTGACAGAAGTCCAATCTTGGGAATAATGTAAAACATTAACATTAAACCCAAATATTTAATCCAATGGTGAACCATGACTATTAGAGCTGAGGCCTTTAGTTTGAGCCAAAAATGACAAAACTCGGTCAAAACGTAAAGAAAAAACAATCCTCTACAATAATGCCAGCTTCTTTTAGCATCCCTATGGGATTCTAGTAGGTTTTTTAGGGCCAAGCTAACAGAGATTCGCGTGAACATTTTTGGCCATTGTACATTAAACATGGACAATTGAACATCCCATGTTTTACTTGAAGTTTGTGACAGGCATATTAGCATATCACTGCTGTCAGAACAAAACCTCGTATCTCCATTTTTGTAATTTTTGAGTTTTTGACATAATTTGAAAATGCCTGTTATTCTTCACATTGTGTGTAAATTTCATAATGGACCAAAAGAAACAGCTCGAAATTACGTGAAAAATGTCTGGTTCCATTGACTTGAAGTAGGTTTTTTCCTTCTCCTGTAAAGTTACCATTTTGGAGATACGAGGTTTTCTTCTGACAGCAGTGATATATTTAACCTTGTAGCAGTTTCACAGTAATTCCTTCAGTGGAGACGCCTGAGCTGCCACCACTGTTTTCCATTTCTAACATCTTATAATTAGGCTGACACTCATATTCACAGTCACAGTCACAGTCAGATATAGTCAGATATCTAGGACTTCCAGAAGGCCTAGATTGATGCTTTTACCCACATATTTATTGGGAATGATCTCTATTGAAAATCAAAATGTGATTGATTCCTCTGTCTACCTATATCTACCTAGAAGAACCTTTTTGTTTCCATCCAGAACTTAACAGTGAAACATAAACATAAGTAGTACTGTAGTACCTGGACAGTATAAATACAGGCATGATTTTATTAAATAAAAATGAACTACAAATTGGCATGTATTGTTTCATTTTTCATGTTTCAGGCCTTCTTGAGCCTTCCTGAGGGTTCCCCTCTGATCTATCCCCTTGTTTTGATGCACTTAAACCTTTCAGGTGACTAAACCATTTTTGGGCCAAATTGGTTTCAGTGCTTCAGTACTTTAATCAAAAATAACAAAAAGAAACCATTATTTTGGCAAAACCTTCTGTTTATACCAAGGAAGACATACCAATAAACATGGAGCTACTAGAAAAGTACTAGTAAAGAGCTGTTTCATGTTAACAGAACATTTGCAGGTATTTTTCTTACATAATTGAAAAACGACAGTAAAAAAACAAACATTGCTCACAGAATCTGAGTAAAGGCAGAGTGTCAGAAAAGTATTAATGAGAAGAGCCCCTCGTTGCTCACTAGCAGCTCAACACAGGCTCACTACATTTCAAACATTGAAGATCCAACAGTGCCCTAGTTAATCTGACAGAGAAAAATATTTTATTTGATTATATTAATTAGAAATGGTTAATTTCCAATTCATCGACTGAATGGCCACTAGGGGCAAGCAGAAATAGGCTATGATGGACGTTTTGGCTCATGCAATATGCAAAAGAACATTTTGCAGTAACAGTTGCACTTCAAAGCGGATGAGTCTGATAATTCTGAGGACACTGAAAAAGTGTTGAAAGAGAACTCAGTCAAAACTTGGTGAACAACGTGTTTTCCAATCTGCTATTGTCATCATATCTTCATCAGTATAATGTTTGAGGCCTAAATATGTGCGTGTAATAATAACAAGTAAAGACGTCTGACGTGGTCTGAAAACCTCATTCGAAACCTGTCTCTGTTACTTTTAAATGATTTTATATTCCTTTTTATTATTTCAGATTTTACAGCAGCATATTTTTGTGTTTTTTCCTGACTCAGTAATGCTACTTTTTCAATTTTAATAAAAAAATCTTACATAGTGCAGCTTTTTTATCATATGAAAATATTGTGATGTCATTTAATGAAATAAACATGACTGAATTCATCCTTCATCCCTGCTGCTTCCATAGTATCTAAAGTATGAATCTGAAAGCAGCTGTCTGATACAAACACCTATGAGACTAATTCTGAGCACCACTGAGGATGTTATGAGCCAAAAACAGCTGTCTTAAAATGCAAAAAAAAAAAGCTTTAAGCAGCTATAACCTCTTTGGATAATTTTGGAGAGCCGACACCCCATTAAGCAAGTAAAAAGTCACATGACGTGTTGTTTTTTCCACTTTGTTGCCTGATCATTTGGAAAAAATGTGACACTTGAATCTTAAGGAACTCGAAAAAGGAACTATGTAGTTTCAGTTGTCTTTCTTTTCTGTTTTAATGCTGCTGACGACTGGTCAGCTTCCTGATGATGGCAGTTTTGCTTTCTACTAAACAGTTGGGCTTCCCAGCTGAAGCGTCACATGCAATCCCACCCCTTCTTTTCCCTTGTGACCAATCTGGCCATAAAGGGCAGTCCCCGATCACGTAGGCCGAGAAATGGAGGGAGTCCAAAACAGCTGCAGTTGAGATCACTTATCTAAGTGCCTTTGTTGTACAGAGAGTCCTGTTTAGACCGGTGTCAAGTACCATGACCCCCCCAAGGAGGCCTGCTGGAGAGAACATCCAGAACATGATGTCTTTAAACAAATGACCCTGCAGCACAGACACACTGTCCTTTGGTGAACGCTGTACGGCCATGGCGCTACATCTGAGGCCGTATTCTTCTGCTATACCAGTAAATGTGTCAAGGGATAACAGCATAAAATCTGAATTGGCTGATTTGTTAGGTTTAAAAATATTCGTTTGCATATGTAAGTCAGGCATCTTTGTCTAAAAAATTGTTTGTTGAGTTTTTTCCTCATACATTGTAAATATAATCTCTTCTATAGATGAAACAATGATCATATGCTGCACATTATTCATACAAACGACTGCAGAGATCATCAGTGATGGTGCGAATGTCCTTCTTCCCCCAAAACTCAGGGGATTTTCAGTCTGAGCTCCACAAACTCCAGCCTGCTTCCTCTTTTTGTGTGACCACTGCTGCCCAGTTTCCACGGAGACCATGGGAAGAATTTGCCATCGCTGGCTGTCTAATATGTAATACCAAACATCTGTTGCATATCATAGGATGCAAGAGCCAAATCTGCTAAAAAGTGAATAATTTTATTTTTTTAGATAACTGTAATAAAAATACGAGCAGGTGAAATCTGTGTGTTGGTCTACACAATTCCTCACCCTCATAACTACATAAGATAAACACTGGTTTTACAGTTCGTATTAGAGACTGAATAATAAGTGTTAAGATCATCAGCTGAATAATTAGTCTTGGCTGAAGTTGTTAAGATAAATGAGCCATTACATGTCGTACATGGAGGCTCACAGTTTTTAACATACCGCCTACCATTCCATACAGTGTGCTGCACTCCGGAAAAAGCTATTGTGGCTTTGTTTCAACGGTGCTGCTGACACATTTCCTGTCTCTGCTGATGATGAACCACAATTTCCTTGTTTACTCACAGTCAGATTTGCTCAGAAACTGAAATTCTCACAGAAGTGTCTCAGCAACGAACGCAATGTGAGTTTAAAAAATGTGAGAAGGTAGGTTTAAAACCCTAATTTCTGCACAAATCCTCATTAGTTACGGCTTGCAAAAGAAACCATTAATTCTGAACAAATTTTAAGCTGCAAAAGCTTTATTGTTCCAATTCTTTACAAAGATAAAAAACAATGAAGCTGTCAGTCACAGGTGCTATTTGCACAAAAGGAAATGAATAATAAGTACATACATAAAGCATGGAAAACAACTCTGTACAAAATAAGTAAAAAAATATAGCTGCCCCAAGCTTTCCTGCAATCCAAGTATTATAATACACTCTAAAAATAAAGCTGGAACTCTTACATATTGTTTCTTTCCCATCATAAGTTAAAAGCACCATTACAAAAAGCTGTAATAATCGCAGATCAAGAGCGTTTAAAAAGGCTACTTCACTTAACAAGAAACCCAACTTTGAGAGAAGGCCTGATTTCCTACGCAAAAGGCAAAAAGACTCTCTAATCCAGCCTCAGTTCCGGTAGTGTTCCTGTCCAAACCCACATTAATAAGAAATGTTTCAGATTTCTGCTAATAAATGAAACCTAGCAAAGGGCTGTCAGCATTATTAAACTCTTTGGCGGACAGTATATCATTTGCAGCCAAATGGGACATTTTAATTATTATCAGCTCAGTAATGAAATCAGTGAAACCTCACTGATATAGATAGCACAGTGGTTGACACCACAAACACAGAAGCAGAAGACTGAAAATTCAGTTTCCTCTTCAGACAGGAACACAACAATGCTTGCTTAAACTCTTAATGCCACATTCACCCACCACGAACGTTTGGTGCGGATAAAAGGATCTGGTAAACAACTTTGGCTTTGTTCACATTACCAGGTTGAAGTGGCACAAATCCGATTTGCCCTAATGTGACTCAGATCTGATGTTTTCAGGGCTGTGTGGACACACAAATCTGATCTTTTCAAATCCGACCTGAGCCACTTTCATATGTGGTTCTATACTGGATACGTATCCAATTTGTGGCCATGCGACCTTAATGTGACGCTCAGATCGGAATTCATGAGCTTTTTTTCCATCATTCAGCGTTGCCATGGCAGCAGCGCCGAACAGAAGTTAAAGCCTGTAAATGGTGGAAAAGCAGCACCTCATCTTTTTCTCCTTCGTCTTGCTCTAATAATGAAGCTGAGAGCTGATCAGAGTTAATGATCTTCTCAGCGAAGCTCGTTCTGCTCGTTAGTTTGTGCTGATGATGAACGTGATTCATTCACGTGACGTTACTGAGTAGGACGTGCGCATGCAGGTCATTTCAGGACGCCGGTTCGTCACATTAATGACAGATTTGAATCGCTTACCTAAACGAGTGTGAACCATCCTGTCAGAGAGATCAGATTTGAGCTATGAGGCTTGTAATGTGAATGTCATGACTATGTAAAAAACCTATCTTACAATCGCCGGCCTTCATATGTGAATATAGAGTAAACTTTTAAATGCACCAAATTTAAACGATTGGTTAGTTACAGAAGTCCGGAGAGGCTATGAGCTGTTGCTATAATTTCCTGGATTGTTATCTTGAGATAACAAGATAAGTAACCCGTTATTTCAAGATGTTATCTTGAGATAACAAGAAAAGTAGCTCGTTATTTCAAGATAACAACTTTTGTTATCTCGAGATAGCAAGATAAGTAACTTGTAATTTCAAAATAATGTTGTTATCTTGTGGTAACAAGATAGTTAACTCATTATCTCTAAATAACAGAAAATTCTAACTACCTCATGGCCTCTTCAGACTTCCGTAACTCACCGAATGTTTAAATTTGGTGCGCTTCATATATTCATATATTCATATATAAATGACGGCGATTGTAAGATTCATTTTATAAATTTACATAGTCATGGCATATTTGAATTAGACATTAAAGTTATTTACCATATCCTTTTATAAACACCAAATTTTCATGGTGGGTGAATATCAGTCAGGTATCAATCAGGTTTCGGTTGTTGTTACTGGCCCAGAAAGTCCATATGTGTGAATCCCTAATGATAAATATTTCTTGTTTTCCATGTTAGCAATTTGGGTGAACTACCCCTTCTAACCTCCTGCCCAACAGAGGCAGAAGCTCAGCTTGTTTGAGGATTTCAAAGATGCCAATTCTCAGTAAGTTCCTCCGGTTCTCGTTGTGTGTTCATGTACACGCTGGTCTTCCTGGCTCCTGTTCTGCAGTCACGTGGGTCCTGTCTGCTCACATCTCTGTCAGGAAGATAAAGTTGTGACAGCTCAGAACGACAGGGGAGAAAGGCGGCAAGGATTAGCATGCTCAACCCGTGCACAGATGTCTGGGGAGTTATGATTCATGAGCTGCACTTATCCCTACAACCCACTGATAGTATGGGATGCTGGGAGCAGGCCTTGTAAAACCACTGGCCTTTTGCTGATAGGAGGGGCACTGGGGTAATTTAGTGGCAGGCCCATTATCGCTGCAAAGGATATTTCACTTGTATCTGTCAAGCGTGATGTTGCAAAAGATTGTTTATCACGGACTGCACTCGTATTAATAAAAGCTAAACTAGTAAACATTTTTTTTCCCTGAGTATATGTGTCCACAATATGATGGCTCATCTGTGGATGGCCATATATGGCCACCATATGATGGCTCACATTGATTAAAAAGGGAATAAAAATAAAATATCTATTCAGTACATAAAAATTGTTCAAATAAAATATCCAAATTGCCCCAGAGGAAAGAGTAAGTAAAGCTATTCTGTAGCAAACAGAGACTTATTTATTAGATCGCTGTAAAGGTAGTGAGGGCAAACACTGCAAGTAAACCATATTATTGCTGAGTTTTCATACTTTGCAGCACACAGTATTAGGTGTAAATATTAGTACAGATTGAATTTTATGTTTAAAAATAGATGCTAAATAACTGTGCAAGTTTTGGATATTTAAATATATGCCACTATAGGCACATGCATGTGAATACACTGGAATATATGCATATACATAGGTGAAATATACACTATATGGACAAAAGTATTGGGACACCCCTCCTAATTTTTGAGTTCAGGTGTTTGTAGTAGAATGTTTTGCACTGATGAGCTCAGTGACTTTAAACGTGGCTCTGTTATAGGATGGTATAACTGTAAAATATAAGTCCCCAGCAACAACAGCTCAGCCACGAAGTGGCAGACCACACTAACTGGTGTGGGTGCCGAGTACTGAAGCACACAGTGCATATCCTCTGTTAAATCACTTAGTAAAGACTTCCAAACTGCCTCTGGAAGCAACATCAGCAAAAGAACTGTGCATTAGAAGCTTCACGAAATGGGTTTCCATGGCTGAGCAGCTGCACACAAGCCCAAGATCAAAATGCACAATGCCGAGCGTCGGATGGAGTGGTGTAAAGCGCCACCACTGGAGCAGTGGAAACGTATTCTGTGCAGTGATGAATCAGCTTCTCTATCTGTCAGTCTGATGGACGAGTCTGGGTTTGGCGAATGCCAGGAGAACGTTACCTGCCTGACTGCACTGTGCCAGCTGTAAAGTTTGGTGGAGGAGGGTGATGATATGGGGCTGTTTTTCAGGGGTTGGTCTAGAACCCTCAGTTCCAGTGAAGGGAATCTTAATGTTTCAGCACCAAGACATTTTGGACAGTTTTACGCTTCCAACTTTGTGGGAACAGTTTGGGGAAGAACCTTTTCTGTTCCAGCATGACTGAGCCCCAGTGCAGAAAGCAGCTCCATAAAGGCCTGACTGGGTGAGTGAGAGATGTGGAAGAGATGTGGAAGAACTCAACTGGCCCTCACAGAGCCCTGACCTCAACCCCATCCAACATCTTTGGGATTAACTAGAATGGAGATTGTGAGCCAGCCCTCTCGTCCAACGTCAGTGTCTGACGTCACAAATGCTCTTCTGAATAAATAGGCAAAAATACCCACAGACTCTCTCCAAAATCTTGTAGAAAGCTTCCCGGAAGAGTGGAAGCTGATATAGCTGCAAAGAGGGGCAATGTGTAGGTGTCCCAATACTTTTGTCCATATAGTGTATGTACTAGTGTCAATTTTTAATATGTACATATCTGTCAAACATATATGTAAATATACTGCACAGTCGACACATATTTTGAAAACATTTGGAAACACATTTCGTCTGCACGTGGAAGGGGTCTCAAACTATGGCCCTGAAGGGCCGGATTCCAGCAGTTTGCTGATTTCCCTGCTCTAGCACAGCTTATAAACCTGGTAATTAACTGATTTAAATCTGGGTTAAATCAGGAGTGCTTAAGCATGGAGATCACCAAGCTGTGCTGGACACTGGCCCTGCAACAGACTTCGAAACCCTGCTGTAATATCTGCACACATATGGTTCGGAAAAATGAGTAATCTAGCAATTATAATGGAAGTATTTATGCTACACATGTCCACATCAACTCTTCTTTCAGACATTTGCATTCAAGGTCATACTGTTCCCTCACCTGCAAGCTCTTTGTCCAGGTTCTCGATGAAGCTTTGTAGGTCTGTGGTGTCCCCGAGTTTGGCTGGAGGGAGAGAGAGAGAGGGAGGGAGGGAGAGAGTAGGGTGGAGGGGAGGGGTAAGTGCACTGGAATGCTGCGGAATGTGGAGAAATGCTGCTAAGTGCAGAGGCATTTCCTGTGGAATATTCTACTGTATAGAAAACGCGATCTGACAGCCAGAATTGCGTAAGGGGATTGGGAAAAAAAAGCAGAAATCAAATCCCGCATCTCTCCCCGAGGACGCACATTTGCAGCCGCCTGTTCCACTGGCTTTGAACCTGCCTTGAAAATCTTATTGTAAACATCCCATAAAACGCAGTGTCTATCAAAGAGATTAGCTTAGTTAGTCTAAAACAGATCAGTTACTCGCTGCAGCTAAGAATATCTGTGGTTTAAAGTGGAACAGTTCAGAGTGTTATTCGCTTTTCTGTGGCATCGTCACAGAATGTGTTTTCAGGCCCTTCAGTGACAACCGCTTCGTTAATTTAATTTACACCTCCTCTCTGCATGCATCTCGCTACTGAATTCAGGTTTACCACAACCATTTATAACCCTGATAGGCCAAGGGATAGCATTAAAAATCTGAGACCTTAGGTCAGAAAGCATGAAGGACGCTCCCCTACACAAAAACACGCGTACACACGCACACAATTGCCGCAAGCTTTGTTGTGTAAATGTGATGGCTATCATCAAAATGTAATGGTAATACCTTTTGTTGCAGCCAAAGTGCCTGCGGTGCTCAGCTCCTCCACACTAGCATTCAAGCTGCTTCCTTGGGATGGTTCGCTACCTGAGAGACAAATAATGGACGTGATAAAAGCTACACTGTATGTCCAAAGTTATACATACACCCGTTTTAATTAGTGAATACAGTTACTTGTGCACCCACTACTGACACAAGCATTCAGTTTCATGTATACAGCTTGTATATTCTTTGTTGAAAAGCAATGACAATAGAATAAGGCACTCTGGAGCAGCCGCACGTCAGCCTAAAGTCACCAAGCCCAATGCCAAGCGTCTGCTAGAGGGGTATAAAGTCACCCAGTACTGGGCTGTGGAGCACTGGAACTGTCCTCTGGAATGATGGTGCTCAATACTTCGGGATGAGAACTAATCATCCAACATCAGCGCCAGACTTTACCAATGCTATTATGGTTGAATGCAATCAAATCCTCACAGCAATGCTGCAACATCTAGTGTAAAGCCTTACGATAAGAGTAGAGACTGTTACTGCAGCAAAGAAGGGACAAACTGCCTATTAATACCCCAAAGTTGTTGACATGTGGTGTATTTTATTGTTAAAAATGTGAGCTCTGCACTTCACAGTAGTGACAGACGTCCAGTCTGGGCCAGTGATGTATGTTTCACAACAAGATGTTTTAGGTGAAATGTTAAGTTAGACAGTGTTTATCTTTACTGTACATATGGTCAGCAGGGATAGAATCTGATTTTTCCAAATATCTGCATCATTAAACTGTTGAGAGATGAACAAAGTCATTCAGAGTTTAATGTGAAGTACACCATTCTTGAGATACTTATAGAGTCAGAATTGTTCACAGCGGTCCTGATAAGAACCAGACGTCTGAAAAGTTTAATGCTTATATATATATATATATATATATATATATATATATATATATATATATATATATATATATATATATATATATATATAAATATATATTGTTGAAAGATATTACACAAAATTATTATGAATATATGGCCTGATCTCCAAGATATGGAGATATAGTTTACAACAATTCTGACAGAAGAATTTGGCTTTTAAAATATTATATTATTTATATTATATATAACATATCGCTGTTGTCAGAAGAAAACCTCGTATCTCCAAAATGGAAACTTTACAGGAGAAGGAAAAAACATACTTTACCTTTAATGTAAGTCAATGGAACCAGACTTTTTTCCAAGTCATTTTGGGACGTTTCTTTTGATCGATTCCTCATTAAATTTACACACAATGCAAAGGGCAACGGGTATTTTCAAATTATGTCAAAAACTTAAAAACAACAAATTTGGAGATACGAGGTTTTCTTCCAACAGCAGCGATAAGCAGGTCACTGAAAGATGAAATGGTACCCGAAGAAAATATATTTCTTAGATTTACTGCTATTTTACCGTCAGCATTACGAATGAAAACTCAAAAGACTTGTGGAGGTTCGCTGGTCACTTTGGGTGAGCAAGTTAAAGATCTATATTTGCACTGAAGACACTGCAACTCCTGGTTCATGTCACCATCATTGTAAAGTAATCTGAGTTGGTAAGTTTCTCTACAATGTACTAATTCATAACCAAACACTTTGAATGACTTTGTTTACATCTCACCAGTTGAATCATGCAGAAATTTTGTATCTCTAACTTAATCTTAAATTAAGTTTAGACAGACCGTTTTCGGGCATAACCTCTTTAGTTTTGCCTAGACTGGAGTATTCTTTACTGTACACTTACAAAAGAAGGTTCTTCAATGGTTCTTTAGTAACAGTAATGGTTCAGCTTAGAACCTTGAGTTCTATATAGAACCATTTCATGCTTAAACGGTTCTTTGCGATGTGAAATGCTTTTTTAAGGATTTTGTGTTGTAGATGTTGTACTTATGTTGTACAAAGAAGCCATGTGCCCTGCTGGCCACAATACCACATTGTCTGGCCATGGTTTTCTGTGAAAATTCAGAGCGATTCGTCAGTGTTTAAAGAGATCTGTGTCAAAGAGTGTTTTTAGGGCACGCAAGTATTTTTTTTGCGGTTACTGAGCTTTGTGTGTAGAAGTCACAGAATCCAATCTTATATCACTTTAATGACCATCCTGTTGCCTTCAATGTAATTTTGAAGCATGTAACAAGCTTACAGCAGGTGCTAGCTAGGCTTAAGTACAGCCTCTGTAGCTGTTACACGGCGTTACACTAGTAAAAGACAAAGACAAATAAAGTACATTTAGTCGTTTTGTTCCATATGTTTACACAGATTTGAAAATGAAAAGGAAAACGGGGATTTTCTTCTTCTTTATTAGTGTCTTTCAGATGTTAGTACTTTGGTTTTAAATAAGTATATTAATGAAACTGACATTAACAGCTGGTAAAGCTGTAGTTATTGAGAAACTATGTTCTATATTTTACTGATGTGTGATGTTTTTATTTGCTGTCCCTCACTGGACAAAAAATAATTCTGTCATTGTTTGACACACAGACTGTCAGTGTTCATATATAATTTGATATGTGTGTGTGTGTATCTATCAACTGAGCTGTCTGTCTGTCTTATACATACATTATATATATATAATGCAGTACGGTTGGAAAATATATTTCTTACAACATAGAATTATTCTCTGTCTGTTACACTGGACCCACCCATGGGCTAAATTGTATTGTAACACTGCACTTCCTGTCATTTTGCGTGGAATTTCACATGAACGGTAGGTGCTAGAAACGTCAAAGTGTTGGTTTGGAGCAGAGATGTATATGTTGCTTTTATAAAAACATGATTATTCCAACTTAAAGATATTTTAAAATTATTTCGCATTGTTAGGTTGTTCCCCGCCCTCTCCTATATGGTTCTATATAGAACTTTTTTGAAAATGGTTCCACATAGCACCAACAAGGGTTTTTCTACTGCTACAAGCTTGACATCAGACCAATAGAAGAACCCTTTTTGGTGCTATAAAGAACCATTTTCAAAACACACAACACATTCTCTGTCAACCTGAAGAACCATTTCACCAAGCAAAGAACCATTTAAGCATGAAATGGTTCTGTATTGAACGCATGGTTCTAAATAGAGCCATTGTCTTCACTAAGCAACCCTCGAAGAACCATCTTTTTTAAGTGTGTCCAGCAAAGACAGAACTCTGTCTTAACTGAAGCAACTGCCTACCATCTTCACAACTTTAGAAGACCTTAGATACTGAGCCCGAGTAAAATGTGGACCGTTTTTAGTGTTCCTAAATCTAACATTTGGTCTAATTAACAGATGATGTGAGAGAAAAGGCTCACCTTCATCAGCGTCTTCGATGCCGCTGTCGTTCACTCCATCGTTGGAGCGCCGTTTAGCCTCACTGAGGAGGTGCTCGTAGGCGTGAGGAGCTGGGAGTGATGGAGCAGACAGCTCCTCAGCCACGGCGTTGAACTCCTGAAGAAGCTCCCCAAAGTCCATTTCCAGATCTGGAGGAATTCAGCATTGGGTATAAAACTTCACCTGACCATTCAGGACCTTCAAACTGAGTATTTATACAACATACAACACAGCAAATGTCCACTATACATTATTTTACATATTAACCTACAACTGGATTTAGCCTAAAGCTGTATGTGTTCATTAAACACTATAGGAGTTTATTTAACGCTTGGTTTGCTGTGTATTTCAGTCTAAATGGCATTTTGCTGCTATTTTCTAGTTCAGTCTACCTGACGACAAACCTGTTGAGCTCCTTACCAATTTATTTACTTTTAATTTAGCTAAGTAGAGTTATTCTAGTTAAATTTCCCGCGCGTAAAAAAGTAAACTTACCTGGGAAATTCGTGCTCGACATCCTTTCAGGCTCCGGAGCGTCCCTTATTTCAGAAACTGCTTCTATAAAGTGAGACAGCTTGACTGAAGGTGTGAAATATATATCTGCCCTTAATTCCTCGTGCAACGGAACTTCGGTTCAGCCAATGAGCTTTCGCCGTTTCCTCTGCGGCGTTCGGCATTTTTTTCCACTCGTATTCGTACAGGGCTCTGACTTCTGCGCTGTGATTGGTCAGCCGTCTCACGTGTCCTGTGCGGGGATTGGCGGTGTATGAAGCACCCGCCAATCCCAGAGCAGGAAGGCGGGGCTTGTCGCAATACGGGTCGGAAAACAAAACGTAATTGGAGTCTGTGGTTGCGGGAATGTCTGAAAGTTTCCTTGATGTAAATGGTTTCAGAGCTTCTCTGCCCAGAAAAACACAGAAGAGGTTTTTCTCTGTAAAGCTGTCAGATGATTTGCTGGGCTGCAGTTATAGTTATGGGTCTAAAAGAAAGTTTTGGCAGGGAACGTTTCTCCTAATAATGTGGAAACAGTTCAGGTCTCGAAGGCCCACGTTCAGGCCTTTGGTATGAATGTCGACTTATTTTTTAATGGTAGAAGTTTTGCACTTTTCTTGGGGTTTCTAATTAATTAAGGCTGCTGTGAGCCAGTGTTTAGACTCCTCTGGTATTCTGCCCACACGATGGCGACACAAGCCTCAGAAGAGACTTAACACTTCCAATACTAATTCAATTATCACTAATGAGCACAGCTGAAGTGGCGGTGTTCTTTTTATAGTAGGCTAAATTAACAGGATACCCTGTGTAGCCTATTCATATAGGCGTATAGTGCTAGAAACTCTGACTAAACCTGGCTGTTTAAAGTTTCTCAATGAAATTAAACGCTGGTGGTGAAAACTGAATGGGAATGTCGAGGAACCAGTCCTGTTTCCAGAGAAGGGCGCCCCTTTAACACCTGTGGCTCAGGCGAGGCAGCTTAAATGTTCCCGCCCTCTGAAAACTTGATCATACTCGTGCTGCTTCGAGCAGGGCTAACATGGGCATGGAGAATGGGCAGAGGAGGCTCACGGAAATATGAACGTGGCGTGTCTGTTTCAGGTGAGTCTCCCTGCTGAGTTTCTACTCTCTGTCAGTTTTATTAACGTTCCTGCTCGTAAGCTGTGCAGTTTAAACTGAATTTCTCTGGCGACTGTACTGCTGAACAGGGTTAAAGTCCATGTTTCCCTCAGTGTGTGACTAATGCTGTTGCATCCATTTGCTGAAGGCAGCTGTAGCCCCTCATAAACGGCAGTGGCTTAATGCTATTTTAGCATGATTCCTCATTAACCCGCTTTAAGCAAGGAAATATCTCAAACAAATGAAAGAAATGGTTTGTTTTTATGCCTGAATTAAGGAAAATACACAGTCTGTTCCACATTTTTACATAAATGTCATTTTGAATCAATTTAACCTTCTTACCAAACCCCATATGGCAATATATGGGTTTCCAATATATGACAGATATTAGCATATATGGATATCCAACTTATATTTGCCACATATGGATATATAACTGACATGAACGTATTTAAAATTGGCCATTTTCATATATATATCAATATTTTTAAATATATTTTCATATATTTTCAGCCATAGGCTATATCAACATAGTGCTGCTGTTGGAACAAGACCTCATATTTCCATTTTTGTTGTTTTTTAGTTTTTGACTTAATTTGAAAATGCCCGTTGTCCTTTACATTGTGTGTAAGTTTCATGATGAATTGACCGAAACAAATGGTCCAAAATTACTTAGAAAGAATTCTGGTTCCATTGACTTACATTACAAGTAAAGTAGGTTTTTTCCTTCTTCTGTAAAGTTCTCATTTTGGGGATACAAGGTTTTGTTCTGACAGCCTCGATATATAAACATACATGTGTAATACATATATTTAACAATATATGATAGAAAACATTAATCCTATATGGATGGTATATATTACTCATATATGGTAGCTACATGTTATATAATATGACATATAGCAGACAAACAGTATATATGTATGATCCATATATTATGCATATGTGTGTTCACCTATCAGTCAGACACATATTTGTGATCCATATCTGTATATGTCTAATATTTGGTACTCATATGTATGTCACGTCTGTATACATATATTTTGAAATACATGCCTGACCCTCCATGATATATGTGCATATATGGCCATATATCAGATTGCAGTATGGAACCTGTTGTTATATTTTATTTTTAGGCTTCATGACTCATTTTCAGATATGAATTGTAAGTCAAAGAGGATGTAAAAGATTGTGAAAGAGATTGGTTTCTCTATCACATCCACAACACTCAGTGAGTCAGATGACAGAAAGCCAGACTGTCATCCTCCAGTCGCCGATTGCGCCTTTAAACATTGAGTAATGGTAGTTAAACTTTCATATGGAAAGAGGGGTGTTGCTTTCTTCTGTGTGCTAAGCCCTTTCTCTGGTTCTCTTTGTAGAGGGTGCTTCTCGTGGCATCTGTCAGGCAGATCATATGCCACACGCTGCCTTTCTTGACACCGGAGGAGCAGGTGGAAGGAATTAAGATAGGCACTCTGAGTGGCGTTTACTCCCCTCCATACCAGCTGCTTGGTAGAGGTTATTTGAGAGTGAACGAAGAAACGGGGGACTTGTACACGACAGAGCAGAAAATCGACCGGGAGAGCCTGTGTCCGTCACAGGAGGAAAGGGACTGTACTATTTCAGATGATGCCCTCGTAGGCCCTGATCAGGAGATGCTGAAGATAATCGTTGTCGTGGAGGACATTAACGACAACGCTCCTTATTTTGAAACTGATGAAATTTACTTAAGAATTCCCGAGGATGCGGCTGTCGGGATGAGGGTCCTGTTAGACAATGAAGCTTGGGACGAGGACACAGGCAGCAATGGAGAGATGAGCTACCATTTAGAAGGAGCTGGGGGCTTCTTCAGTGTGGCCCAAGACGGGTCTGCCCTCGAGCTTGTTGTGGAAAAAGAGCTGGACCGAGAGGCTCAGGATGAGCACCGGATGGTTCTTGTTGCCGTGGACGGCGGCTCTGTGCCTCTGAGCGCTACGGCATCTCTCGTCATCACGGTGCTGGACGTTAATGATCATTGCCCAGAGTTCAGCCCTGATAGTCCTCACACAGCTGTGGTGTCAGGAGGAGCAGCTCAGGGCACAACTGTAAAGCAGGTTCAGGCCACAGATCGTGATCTGGGCCACAACGCTCAGATCACATACTCCTTCAGCCCTCAAATTTCAGAGCGGGCCAAGGCCCTCTTCCGCCTGGACCGAGTCACAGGCAGGATCAGCTTAGCTGTGGATGTGAGGTTAGACACGCTGGAGGAACATGTGTTGAAAATTGTTGCAAATAGCCCACATTGCCCGCCTGTGTTAACACAGGTAACTGTATCCATGCAGCCGGTGGTGAGCCGGGAGCCGGACATCGAGATCAAATTCATGGCAGAGTATAAAAACCAAACAATAGTGTTACGAGAGAACGAGCCCCCCACTGTTTTGGCTCTTGTGGAGCTGAGAGACACCTCAAGCGTTCAAGCAGTTCTGTCCTTAGAGGCAGACAGCATACCATTCACTTTGAAAGAGCAAGCAGGCAACTATTTGCTTTCAACATCAAAGCCACTAGACTTTGAACTGTGCAGTGACTATCGCGTTACTGTCGTTATAAGCGAAGCCCAAGGCAAACGCGTGCATGGAAGACAAGTGATCAAAGTGGCGGTTGAAGATGTGAATGATAATGCCCCACAGTTCGAGCAGCCTCACTATCAAGCGGAGATAGAAGAGAACAATAAACCTGGCGTGTCTTTAATACAAGTCAGGGCATCTGATGCAGACAGCCAGCTCTACGGAAAAGTGTCATACCGGCTGATCCAGAATCCTCCTGTCTTCAGTATTGATGAAGCAACAGGTGTGCTGTCTGTATCAGAGTCTTTGGACAGAGAGCAACAGGGCACGTATGTCCTCACAGTGCTGGCCAGGGATCTGGGCTCCCCTTCTCTAGAGGCCATGGTGTCTGTGTCTGTAAATGTGCTGGACCAGAACGACAATCAGCCTGCCTTTCTCAAGCAACACTTCGTCTTCTTCATCTCTGAGAGCATTCCAAGGCTAGCTCAGGTTGGGAAGATCGAAGTGAGGGATGCAGATGAGGGAGACAATGGGAAAGTCGTGGATGTGCGGGTGCTGGACAAGCATGTTCCCTTCGCTGTGGACCTGTCCCAGTTGACGCTGCGCTGCACTGCTGAAGTGGACCGGGAGAAGCGGGACCGCTATGATCTACTCTTGCTGGCTGTGGACGGTGGCAGCCCTCCACGCTCCTCCACCGCTTCGGTGACCATTTTTGTGGAGGATGTCAATGACAACCAACCTCAGGTGATCCTGCCTAGCAGCAACCTCTCTTGCCTGACCGTATCCCCCAGTACCAGGACGGGCAGTATTGTAACCAAGATCTACGCTGTTGACCGTGACTCAGGCATGAACTCAGACATCACCTACCAGATCACAGCCAGGCAGCCAGCCTGGCCAAGCCCGTTCCAGATCGACCCTCATTCTGGGAACATCACGCTAGCAAATCGGCTAGCAGGGGGCGCTTATGGCATGCACCACCTCTTCATTGTAGTGAGGGATGGGGGGAAGCCAGTGCCCCTTCAGGCCACAGTGTGGGTCAATCTGCTGGTCAATGAGACACTAGAGCAGTGCCACCTCACCAGCGTTCCTCCATATCCATCCCAAACCACAGAACCCCCTGTGCTTTCGCAGCTGGAATCCCTCAACAAGCCAGCGCAGTCTTGTACCGAACCACCTTGGCTCGTACTGCTCTGTGGTCTGGGTATGATGGTGTTCTCGGCTTGCATGCTTCTAGCTGCCACTGTGATTTTTGTGAGACATAAAAACTTGACACGAAAACTGACAAGCAGGAGAGAGCCCCTTGAAATGAATCTCTTAAAATAAAAGGAAATTGCTCCACACAAACTTTTTGTAAAGCTATGCTATAAACAGGACATCTGCAATGTTCATTGTACAAATATAATGTGGGTTTTTGTTTTCTGTGTTAATGAATTTACTATGTAAAACCTAACCTGGGCTGCTTCACAAAAGCATTGCAGCATAATAAGGTGAGCAATGTGGCAAACATCAGGTTGAAGAAATGTTCTCAATATTCCATACTTGTGATTTAGTTTGCAAACAAGATGGAACGGACAAAATACACCAGCAAAACAGCTGTTCCACATAAAAAAAACAAAGACTCTGAGTACAATTATTTTTTTTAGTTCACTGAGGGTGTTTATATGCACTCAATAATCCGATAACTGCAGAAAATCAGTTTTTGTCAGTAAACCGATCAACACGTGTACATGCACTTGAGTAATCAGATAATGGGGAAACTCTGGGTCTACATGAGTCAGGCAATAATCGGATTTCTGCTTTGCAACCAGCCAATAAACTCACAGAAGACGACGTGACGTAAACGTCATGTAAAATTCAAACTTCATACCGCAGTTTTTTTTTAAAACGTCGTGCCACTTTACCTGAAAATATGAACATAGATCATCTAGAATATGAAAAATATTCAAATCTTTATTTCGTGTTTGGTTTTAGCGTCACTCTAACAGTGTTTTGCTGCGTATCGCGACATCCACCATCTGATCTCACACATACAGACTGAGGAGTCCGACAGAAATCAGAGTAAGAGTTTACATGCACTGAGAAATCTGATTACTGAGCTGAAATTCAGCTCTCTTTATCAGATTTCTAGATCGGAGTATGGTGTTTGCATGACCATTTGAGTAATCGGATAACTGCAGAAATCCGATTATGATCGGATTATTGAGTGCATGTATACACACTGTTTGCAAAAATAAATTATCTGAATGAAGAAACAACGAAGAAAGAAAAAAAATTCAAACTAAGAAAATCATAAAAATCATAAAAGCTTATACACATCTTTAGTGTTTTTATTTTAATGATACAAGCTTCCTGAATATAAATGTGTTAAAAATTTTCGTATATAATTGTGATTTTATATACCCTAAAAAACACAGGCGCCATTTGTTTCTTCTTTTTAGACAAGGTGGGACATTTTGTCTGCAAAAGTGGGATAGTGCATTTCAGCCTATCAGGATTTTTACTATACTTTTTACTATAGCCCACTAGCAGTACAGCAAAATCCAGTGTACCCCAGTCACATTTGGCTAAATGAGTGATAATAATTAACTGAAGTGGCTTAATTCTTTTTAAAAAGCAAGCACTCATGAAGGACAGGCTCCAGTATGTTCCATGCTCTGCTCAGGCCTCCTTCCTGACTCAGTATGTTCTGTATATTCTTCCATACTTCTTCTCTGTCCACTCTCCATTCATTCTCTTCTCTCTTCACTAACATGCAACTCTCTACTTCCTTTATGCTGTCTTTTCTTTCTCTGTCTTCTCTACATTTCTGTTCTGGTTCAGGTGCCATTTTGCTAAAAGTGATAAAATGTTTGTATTAGGTCTATTTGCACCAACAGCTTATTGAAACAGAGCCTGCAGGCCTAAAAAGAATGATCTACACTTAAAGGTCAATGTCTGTGGGCTTCTTTATGCCACACTACACAGAAGTATTAATACAGCAAGCTAACACTAGTAGCCTAATGTTGGTAACAGTGTACATCAATAATTAGGCCTGTTATGAAATATGAATGTTATAGTGTTTGAGCATAATTACTTACTTTTAGATGTTAACACTAAGTAAAATGCTTCAATCAAAAATAACCCGTTTTAAATGTTGGTCGTTTTTAAAGAAACATAAACATATTGTATCTGTACCAGTATTGGCGGATACTCAGCATTTCAATATTGGAAAAGAAAACTGGTATCATGTCATAATGGATGATCTTAATATACCACAGTGGCTCTAAAGGTGTTCCACTATACCTGAATGCTGTGTCCCACTTTGTCTACAGTGTTGAGCGAAAATAAGACAGCACTTAATTAGAATTCTAATTATTTGTCGAATAATTATATAGTTGTATGCAAAAGTTTGAACACCCCTGGTCAATTGACATGATTTGTGGATTTTCTATGTGAAAACATTGCATCCTCTAGAGGGAACAAAACTAAATATGGTATTTTCTGCACATTTTAGTGCATAATTTTGGATTATTTGCTGAGTTTATTGGAAAAAAAAAACAAATTATGAAATGTGCCATCTATTTTGCACAGGCTACATTTTATGATTTACTGTCCAATATGTTATTTTCAGCGAAAAAACAGTAATTATCCGTTACAAAGTGCAGACGTGTATGTCCCCTGTATAGATGTGTGCATATTTTCACTTAGACATGAAACATGTAAATAAAACCTGCAGTTTAGGCAGGGGCACCCAAACTTTTGCACATGACTGTATATGTTATACATAAGTCTGTAATAACAACTGAGCAACTAATACAACTAACTAATATATCCTGTCTCTCAGAGAGCAGTGCTGCATGTAGCTTATTCGTCTCACTGAACCCGTCCTACTTAGACAAGCGTACAGAGCTGTAATTTGCCACGATGCTAGATCATATTGCTCACCCCTAATTCTGACTCCGTGATGTTTTGGGAAACGGAGCTGTTTCTTAGCCCTATAACAGATTTTCAACCTAATGTTCAGGGCTTTCCAGTCCCTCCGCAGCTTTATTATTTCAGCTCCCAGATCTGAGCCTGGTAGCTGATCAGCATTCTGCAGGCCTTCGTAACTACGTTTAAAGGTGCTGGAGAGAGAACAGAACAAAAATGTGGATTGACTGGGGTACACCAAGGACTGGGGGGAGAATCTGCACACCCTGCAAAAGCTCAAATGGTCTTAAGCTCAAACAGAGAAGTTCAATAATGAGGAGGAACTGAATCAATGTGAAAGTAAAGGCATCTCAAACACAGGAATGCACATCACCTAGCAGGAACTTCAGACTAACCAATTTTATTTCAGGTTTTCATGCCAACAACAGTTAAAAGATAGAACAGAAAGATAAAGTCACAACAAACATTATCGTAATTATGTGTTCACTACGATCTGTGGGAATTCATCTGTACGTGTGAAGCAATGTTTACTGTTTGGAGAGCAGAAATGTGCTTCTCTGCACTTAAATCATTCAGCCTGAAACATTCTTCGACCTGAAACAAATTCCTTACAAAAAAACTGGCAGTTTCTTATTATTATTATTCAGCGGTTGGTTCAAAGTCCACCTGAATATGTCAAGAGGTCAATAACTTAAATGGATCTCGTGCAAAAAAAACGATAATTATTAACACAAAGAACAGCAGGGATCAGCTGGTGATTACAGGGGCAGTGTTGCATGGTGTGGGTTTCTGTGAGGGCTGAATTCTATGAGCTGAAACGCTGGGCACCCAGAGGGTTTGGTAATCCTCCGTTGTCTTGATTGGCGCTCTCTCAGATTCCCAACAATAACTGATGGAAGTCTCAGGTATTGGTGTTCACAAAAGGCTCTAATGTTTCTCTTAAAGTGAGGTGATGAAAATCTCTCAAGGTGCTGCCTCAGAGGAGGCCGTTTGCACAGCGGTGAGAGAAAGTGCTTCGTCTCAAGTCACCTGTCATCCGATAGCAGCCCTTCTCATCCCACGTAGGTAGATCTGGCCCGGGGGGTGGCGGAGGCTCACCGTAATGTATTTCATTAGAACTTACAGTCATTCAAGATGGGCAGGAAGCATTTCTGAGTATGTTGACTTTGACTATCAGATCCTGCAGTTAGTCTGATACTCAAATGTCACTCATACTCCTATTTATTACAGAGCTGAGTGGATATCATGTTTCAAAATCACAGACAGATCTTATTAAATATCCTCGTCTTTGATATGGGAAAGCTTGGGGTAACGAACATGGGGTAAAATGTAACATGGCTTTTATTTTTATGTGGTTAAACCAAGTAAAACATGTTTTGGTCAACTTCTTGTATTCCAATGACACTGTAATCTGCATATTTTCATGAATATTTCTCAAGATTTCTCACTCTGGAGACTATTTTTGTACCATAAAAGTAAATTTTATAATTGTGTTTCTTAATTTATCTCTGTTGTTCCCTCTATAATCAGAATTCACCTATACGATTGTACTCACTTGGTGTAATTTAGCACCATTCTGAATAGGGCTGAACGATTTTGGCGAAATGTCTAATTTTCTGTCCAATATTGCGATTATGATTTAAATTGTGAATGTTTTCTATAAAATGATGTCTGAGCTTTTTTGGTTTGACTAAGTAGACCAGTGTATACATTTCTAGCTTGAAGCTTGAACACTTAACACAGAGCACCAGCCTGCCAGTTATTTGTGGTCGTGATGTCAAAGCACATGGTTGTTTGGTTGCTTCTGATTGGTCAAATTCATATAAAGCTGTTCACAAGGTCTGTGTGATTAGGTTAAATTTCCCTACTTAAACCTCGCAACATATTAACATTCACACTTAAAAAAGATGGTTCTTTATAGGTTCTTGAGTAAAGAAAATGGTTCTATATGGAACTATGAGCCCTTAAAAACCTTTGGCCTGATTAAATGTTTTTTTTGCATTGTGCAACGGTTCTTGATGGAAGATGTGTTGTATATGGTTCTATATAGCACCCAAAAGGGTTCTGCTATGGTTACTGGCTTGACACCGTAACAATAAACGAACGCTTTTGGGTTCTATATAGAGTGTAGTTAAAAAATAGACTCTAAGACTATGATCAAAATTGCAGCTCTTGTGATTTGAAAATTGCATTCTTTAAAATTGTGATTTTGATATAAAAACGATTAATCTTTCAGCCCTAATTCTGAAGCAGTTGAACTCACAGTGAGAGCTAGTGGGATAGTTTTAACAGGTTACAGACCTCTGACTGCCAAATATATATATATATATAATATATATATATATATATATATATATGTATGTATGTGTGTGTGTGTGTGTGTGTGTGTATATATATATATATATGCATACACACACACATATATATACAATGTAAAGGGTAACAGGCATTTTCAAATTATGTTAAAAACTGAAAAATGGAGATAAAAGGTTTTCTTCTGACAACAGCGATATACATACGTTTTTATGCACAGATCAATCAAAAACCTGAGGAATGATGTAGAACATATTTCAGTTTTATTATGCTTCTATTTTCTCAACTTGGTCCTCAGAATAAATTTGATGCAGATATTATTACATATTCAGATTGGAAAGCTTATCTGAGTCAAACAACAGAGATCTGCACTGAATTAATAGTTTTTTAATTGATTTATCAGACTTTTCAACCACCGCTACAACTAACCCTCAGCCTGTGAGAATCAGCCCCACATGTGGGGTAAGTTGTAACATTTGCACTCACTCCACTTTGTGGCTGAAGTGTTCATTCATGGTAAGTACTGGAACGTGTTTGTGTTCACTTGAAGTCGAGATATT